GCCGGGACAGGGGCTCGGTGGAGGGGCTGCGGAGGGGCGGGGGGCTTGGGCCGGGGGGCAGCGGGTGCCCTGCGCTGTGCTGCCGGCCAGCGGAGCCTCTCCGAATCTCTCCCGCTTGGCGGCTCCAGCCGACGGCCGTCCCCGGAGGTTTTGGAGTGCGTGGGTCCCACAGGTGGCCTCCTAAAAGGTGACGGGCAGGAGGACGCCGTGGCACCGTTGTGTCCACGCACAGGGCAAAAAGCATCGGGGGCAAAAGCTGGGACTCCGGCCCGCTGCCGGGACACTTGCCCTGCCCCAGAGCCAGGCTCACAGCCCGGGGGAGCGGGCCTGCGCGGGGGGACGGTGGGCTCCGGACACCTGAAGGAGGTGGGCTCAGCCTTTCACAAGTGTGAGGAAAGCGCTAGGCAATATTTCTGAGGCAGTTTTCCAAGGTACTGGTTTAGGAGAGGCCCTGTGAGAAGAGCTGGCTCTGTGGCCCTGTCCTCCACGCTGCGAGTGTGTCGGGGGGGCTGGGGAGCACACGGCGGCACCCAGAGCGGTTTGCAGCCTGCACTTTGCCTTGAAGATGCTGCCATTTCAGGCCTGAGGAGCGTGCCTATGAAGGGGGAACACCTCTGCTGCTGCTTCTTCCAGCTATGTTAGCTAGTCTAATAAAAGGCATGACCTCTCTCAACAAATCATCGTTTTGCTTCCCCCGCGGCCCCAACGGGATGCATTTTGTGTAGATTTTTCCAGAGGAATTGCTTCAAAACAAGGATTGGCAGCGCTTGCCCCTGCCGGTACCCACACCTTTTTAAGGTTTGTGGTCTGATGTCCCAAACTTAATTCCTTAGCTTTTCCTACTAGCTCCAGGTGAGGTTTGCCTTCACTGACTGCTTTGGGGGGAGGCTGGGGCCAAAAGAACTCAGCCATCCGTTGCCAAAGAGGGAAGAGGCCAACAGAAGAGACAAGAAAAGGTTAGTGTGGCTTTTGTGCACAATATGAAAAGCAAGTCAATACCATTGTAGGGGCATTGGAGGGTACTCAAAGCAATCAGCCAGGGGCCATTGTTTCCCTTTAATCTACATGTGTATTTCCCAAGAACTCTATTAGTGAAGATGAATGAACTGTGCAATGTCCCTAATTTCTTCTAATTTGGAGCCTGGTTTTTATGGCACTCACAGCCAGCACAAAACATGCCTGTCCCTCCAGAAGCCCTGGACAAACTTGGGAATCTTTTTGCTTGTGGCAAAAAAAAAAAAAAAAGATAGCAAGGTGAGATGAAGCCAGACCCTGCTCTGGCAGCAAGTGCCATAAAGGGCACTGGGTCCTGGCACAGATCCTGCTTTTAGGGCACCTGTCAAAATTGTCAAATATAGGGACAAGACTCAGTTTTTTGGCTGTCAATCCCAACGCGAATGTGCAGCAAAAGAACTTCCCCCCCAGCCCTGGGCAGGGTACACATCCCACACAGTACAGGAAGGACCTTCCTCCCTAATAGAGAAGGATCCTCTTTCCTCAGCGGTCAATCTCATCTCCAGATCTGTCTTTTTTTTGCTTCAGGAACGGACTGTGGTGCCCTGAGCACACAGGAGGCATCACGCTGCTCTGGGGAGGGAGGAGGTCTGATGATTCCTCTGGTAGTCAGAGCCTCACACAGAGTTTAGGATGGCAAAGAAAGGGGACTGTCTGAATGTTTCCCTCTGGGTCTGATGTTCTGGCTGTTCGCTCAGTCCCCTGCTGGCACAGAGTCCCCTGGGACAGACGTCACACCAGTTTGGAGCCTCGGGCATTGGTACTGTGGTACATGGCAGTTTCACAAAGGCCATTTACCTTTGGAAATTTACAGGGGCAATTGCGATCAAATTTGAGAATATTCATTAGGAGATGAAACAGGTGGGATTTCTTACTTGCCTTTCCAAAAATAGCCCCCATTCCATCACCTTCTTTAAGTTTGGGGGGTTTTTTTGCAATGTATTATTGTGGCATTTACTGCTGAAATTATGTTTGGAAGCTAACAAAAATCCTCAAGATGGGTAGCCTCTAATGCACAGCTGTCTGCTCGTCCTCCTTCCCGCGCATGTGTGGTGAAGACTAAATTGGGATAGTTTTGATCATGTTGGAGCTGTTGAGACACATGTATGGGATGTGGCTTCACAAAATGAAATCACCACCATAAAATGCCACAGATTCTTGGTTCCTTTTCTCCTGCCATTTGCTTTATGTCAAGCTGAAATAATTACTGCCTTGCAGAGCAGGCATTTGAAGCTGAAGTCACGCTGCAGGTGGGACTTCACTCTTGGGGCTGGTGATGTGCAGCAGGGAGCACCTCCCTGGAAAGAGAAATAGGACTTTCAAGGTCAGACAGCAAACCTGTGAGGGGCGGGGGGAGGGGAGGAAAAGGGGGAACTATTCACCCAGCAGGACCTGTGTCCTGCTGCAGTTTGCATACTCTGTGTATTCCGGCAGACACTTAAAAAATGACAAAAACTGGCTTTGCTTTTTTCTCCCCAGAAGTTCCTAAGTGCGCAGTTCAAGAACCTTCTTGAAAGCACTGTGTAGGAGAAAGCTGCTGCTCCCTCTGGTCACCGCATCACTTGTACCTTGACAGCCACCTCCTGCTTATTTTCTGGTGAGACTTTGCTTTCTCTGTCCCTGGTTGTGTTGTCTTCACCCCTGACAAGGCGCTGAGTGGCAGCAGGAGCTCCACGGCGAGTCCCGAGCCTGCCCCACGGTACCAGAGCCTCCCTGGAGCGGGCTGTCCCCATGTCCCTCCTGGCTGGGGGCACAGGGTGGCCGTGGGTGCTCCGGGAGCAGGGCTGCTTGTTCTGGGGAGTGACCAGCATGGGCTGGCTGTGAGGGCCCCCACATGGGGCTCGGCACACTCAGCCTTCCCTCTGGAGGGAGGGGGCGCAGGTCCATGCTATAAGGCTATATTAATGCAATCCTTCTTTACTTGTTTTCCAATTAGCCTAATTGAATTCGGCTTGCTTAAAAGTGGGCACTAGAGACATTTATCTTGATGGGATGACAGCCTTGAGCCCCAGCGATCCTATTAACTGTAAGAACCCAAATCCCAGGTAGGGTCCGTCCAGCAGTAGCTCCATGTGACCCAGCGCCTTAATCGGCTGCTCTTCCGTGTGGCCTTCACAGACAGACATACATACAGACAGCTACACACGTGCATATACAGACACAGAGATAGACACAGACAGACACACACAGAGACACACACATCACACACAGACACACACACAGGCAGTGGCTGCCTCCACAGCTCCAGCAGCCTTGGGAGATGGCTTTTTTAGTGCAAAGTGTCAGAGAAAGGCCTTGGAGAAAGGTCTTTCCTTTCTCCTGAGCCTTGGAGCACAGTGGGTGTGCTCCCCGTGATCGGTCCCCATCTGGAGAGCTGCATGGCTGGTGACACATTCCTCATGTGGCCCTGCCACCTCCTTCCTGGTGCCCGAGGATGAGGACAGCCATGGGAGGGATGGGACACGCGGGTACTGGCCGGGAGTGGGGCAGGCACCGCCAGCGCAGTGAGGACCAGGCTTTGCTGAGGGCAGGACAGACCTGCAGCCCTGCCCTGGCCACCACGCTGCCCTGCCTGGGGGCTCTGGGGACATCTGAGGCCACGGTGCTGGCCTCCTGTGGGGCCATGACCCACCGTGTCCCCTCCGCTGCTGAGCACAGCCCCAGGGCAGGAACCAGCCCCCCCTGCCGTGTAGCCCAGCTTCGCCACTCTGAAATGGGAGGTTTTCAGCCTCTGGCTCTAAAATCTGTGCCCAAGGCAGCCCATCCACCCCCGCAGAGATCAGCCTGGACGGGGCCAGGGCTGGCACCCTCCCATGCCATGGATGGGGGGGACCCATCCCATGCCAGTCCCCGGCCCCCTCCCAGCCCCACTCCCCTCTGCCAGCCCTGACGTGATTTTTGGAATCTCATTAATGACTTGTTTGGTGATTCTGACTGTACTTTCTTCTCTGACCCTTTAAACTGTGAAAATGCTGATCCCATATGTGCTGACGAATTTAATTAGCTCCTTTAAACCACCAGATGCTTTCAGTAAGGTTTTCAGGGTATCCCCGGCACATTTTAATTCAAAGGTTGAAAGCCTGAGGCTTGTTTACTTCTGTGTTTTATAGATGAGACAATTCAGTCTGTAAAGTAGCAGAACCGTGTGGAGACACCTACCACATCTGGCCAAACACAGAGGGGACACGGCTTGGTCCTCACAAACCAAAGGCTGGTTGAGCTGAGCTGGCGACTATTTTAACTACTTTGTGTAGAGTCCTCCTAAAAGAGCCCACTTGTCCTTTCCCAGAGGTAATTAAATTGTTGACGTGTAAGAGAAGGAGCCCAAGAAACAGAAATCGGACCAGAACTCTTGGTGGCTTTAGGCAGAGAGTTTGAGACTGAGTTAGCATTTGCTGGCTCTCATGCCTGATGAATGCGCTGAAGACAGGTCTTCTCCACTGAAGAAACGACCTGTTACAATGCAAGAGCCACTGACATCCCTCTCCAAACAGACCAGGGTCCTCCCTGTTGGTGACGGGACCTTCCAGAAAGCCACTGGAGCACCCAGCTTCTCTCAACAAAGTGCTGTCACCCACTGGGGCTTGGCAGAGCCACCACCACTCTGTGGGGCTGGAGGACATCACCTTGCCCAGGCAAAGGGGCTCAGTACAGAGCAGGTTTCACATCTGGGGTGCATTGTAAGAGGAGAGGAGAGGAGAG